TTATAAAAAAAAAAAAAAAAAAAAAAAATAAAATTATATAAAAAAAAAAAAAAAAAAATAAAAAAATTTTTTTTTTTTTTTTAAAAAAAAAAAAAAAAAAAAAAAAAAAAAAAAAAAAAAAAAAAAAAAAAAAAAAAAAAAATTTAGCATCTAATTTATCAACTACACCTTATATATATCTTGATATACTATAGTTGGCAATGTAGGAACGTGTGTGTTTATTTTGATCGAGAGGGACAGGATAGACGGATGTGAACCATGAAGGATAAAGAAAAGTGCATGTGGGTCCGGTGATAACGGTAAGGTAAGAGTGGGACGAGAACTACGTGGGGATTAGCCACCATCCAAATTCTCACTCCAAACAAAAAATTTTTTAAAATATCCATATTGAAAAAGCCTTCACGTTGCAAGGAAGGTGAACCTGAGATTTGCGATCAACTAATATGATCGTCCAGTTTAAAATTTCATCAAACCCCTAGTAATTCATGGATGGAGGCTAAAGAATCCGAATCACAGAACAGTGGACTTCTTTCGTTCGGTAGAGCCTTTTTCCTTTACCTAATCGAATATTAAGATTCAATCTTTTGAGTACAGAGCATGAAAATTCTCAAACAAGTTAATTGCCACGGGTATTCAGAGATGGTACAATTTTTACGAAATACTTGGCAAAGGAAAAAACCCCCCCGAATGGTTCACAAAGCTGTTTTGATCGGTAGATAATGATTGTGAATGGCGCACGTCCTGTGCTAGGATAAATAATGATTGTGAACGTCGTGAATGCAGGCGATGATGGATTTAGTGACACCAAGGGACAAAAAAGTTCATTGACACGAGCACTTACATGAATGTTAATGAAAAAAAAAAAATCTTGAATTCTGAAAATATTCGAATGTTCAGGTGTTTTGATTAAAAATAGCATATGCAACGACACAAAACAGTCATATTTCAATTCCAGATAAAATTTAGCATTATTGACCAATATGGCAATGGCGTTGTAACTTGGCCGTTCAGTACAATGTCTATCGAGCTAATTTCATTATTATATTATTATTCTCCAAATTGACCGAATTTACAGTATTATAACCTATTTCATGTACGAGACGTGCTATGACGTTTGTCAATCAAGTCGACCCAAGGGTCTGCATATTATCGAATAGTGGGATTTTATTAATGTAAAATTATTTTCGGTCGATATCTAAAAATAAAAAAAAACAAGCGACCCACCAATCTATCTTCCTTCAAATGGATTCATACATACATAATCCGTCGGTCATCTTTACAAGATGCCCATCGCAAAACTTTCCTTTTCTTTTTTCCATTTTAGGCCAATGTTTTTTATGCTTCTACGTTCTTTTTGGTTTTTCCATGATGAAAACGAATCCACCGTGTTTTTCTTTTAAAACAATTTGATCATTTATTCGACAAGATAATCGACAGGCGCGTCCATTGCTCTGAGACAAAACGGGTAATTCAATGAAGCGCACTAACATTTTAGGCTTCTTTGTTTATCCGTTTATAGTTTTGTGCAGTAACGGTCAAAGAAAAGAAAACCCTTTTTTGACAAATGGCCGTTAAATTAGACTATTCGAATATGTCCCGAAGAATCCTCGCTCTTTCTTCGCCTTTTTTTGTCGTCGTGTCAACTTTGGTGTGGGCTGTCAACGTCGTTATTCTTTTTTTCGAACCCACGACTAATCCTACTAAATCCCACACGTTAATTTGACGAGTTTTACGTTTCAGTCCCATTCAAATTTCCTGCAAATATTTTGCAAACTAACAGGTGCATGATTGCCAAATATTTGGTGTGTAACGCACACTTTAAGAAGTAAACAGCATCGTGGTTTTGTTTGGATTCATACTATAATTCATATATTTGCATCGCCAAACTACCCGAATAATAATGACCCAGGAAAAATTGCAACATGTAAACTTTCCTTTTCTGACAAAAGGGTGCTTTGTGAGATTAAGACGATAACAGCAATTGTTTATCAAGCCCCACAAAACGATATCTCCTCCTTTCCACAAACTTTCGTGAGACCTGTTTGGATTGCCTTGACTAAATTCTTTTCACGGCGATGGGTAAAAAAAAAAAAAAAAAAAAAAAAAAGATGAAGATGAATCTTGAGGATGGTTTCACCTTGTTCATCAAAACAATACACACTATGATACGAATATTCTTGATCGAGTTATAATTCGCAAAGAATCGAATCAGTGCTGACCAGGTAATCAATACCGCGTTAGGGACTTTATTTAATTCTTAGAATGAAACCATCATTCCAACATCTTACTCAGGAGGATGAAATCAACCTTAGGTAATATTATGTACGCATGTAATATGCAACATACAGGGTACCAAAAAAATTTTTTTTTGATATCCCTTTTTGACGCCCCTGCACACTTAAACGATATCATGAAAATATATTATTTATACAATAAAGACGATCCGAAAGAGGTACGTATGGAATTCGTGCCTAGTGAATGCGATTATATTATAATGTACAAGTGAGAATTGATAATAAAAGAACATAGTAGAATGGGTGATGATACAATCAGTATGGGGTAAGGGAAAAAAAAAAAAAAAAAAGGAAACAAATCTCCCAAGTTTTTATAACCACGGGCCCAAAGTAGAGGAATCGTATGACGCACACACCGCATCATTCGCGCAATTCGCTCCGTTGACACGCCCCAGCACACCCAAATCTATTCCGTTCCCCGGATCTCTTGAATTTTTCAGTACACAGATGGACCTTGGATTATTGTTGTTGCTCCTGTTCTCGTCATTGGCACTGTCATTGTAATTGCCGTTACTGCTGGAGCCTCCGTCGTGAACAGTGAGATTAACAACGCACAATCCACTATTTCGGTTATTTCCACTGCGACCATGGTAATCATGATGATGATTTCGGTAGTGGTGGTTGATGCAACGATTGTTCGGGAGAGTTAGACTCTTGTTATTATAACTGTTGTTATAATTGCTGTTAGAAAAAGCGGTGATATTATTGTGATTATAATTGTTTCGCATATTGTTGTTATTAGTTTTTGTTCGTGAGGTGTTGTTTACGAGTTTTCCGGGGTCTGGTAGAACGTTGTGAACGTTATTGTTGTTGTCAATTCTTTGGTTATCATCTTTATCGATAATAAATCCTTTCTTCCCATAGAATCGGACGGACCTTATGCTCGATTTATAACTATTAACTTCCTTCTCGACTATGTGATTCGTTGTCATTTCATAATAATCGACGTGTTCATTTTCTACACAAGATCGAATGCCAAGTTAGTCACAACACCCGTAAGCCAGATTATTCATTCATTCATCTATCCACGAATCATTTCCATTTACCATTTGCGCCGTTCGTCGGAGTAGTAGAGGCGGCCGGCAATAACCGACAGATCTCATCTTGTGGGTCACCGTCATTCAACAGATCATCGAATATTGGTCGTAGGATCGGTCTGAAGGATTTCGATAAGGCCATCACATTTTCTTTTGCCTGTGTGAATTATAAGATGTTGAGGTTAATAATTGTGTACGTGATATTAAATTGTATGCATGCACATCATTCCAATTGACGTCGGATGACCAATGCGCATGCGTACCCAGGGAACAGGATGGGGTATTAACAGGAAGTTAAAGTGAAACAGGCGTTAAAAAAAAAAAAAAGAATGTATGTGTGACACATTCCAAAGAATCAATCAAAGAATGGATCTCTGTTCGATATTCTAATTGAGGGATATCCTCGCATTAATGAATTTCAAAAATGGTAAAATGATATGAATTTCCAAAATAGTAAACCGGTGTTTCAAAAAAAATTTTTTTGAGGGGGGAATTCATGGAGGTGCGTGAGTGGATGGATAATGATATACGCAAGCAAATAATAAAAATGTCTGAGGAATGAATAGTGTGGTTGATGAATGGAGCACGGAGAACCTACCAACTCGCCGATTTTATCCCCCCATCTGCCCACCGGAGTGAATACGTGATCTTCCTCGAGGTTGGTGAAACCATGGGTGTTGGCCATTATGTGGAACATGTGCGAACATATCATTGGATTTATTCCTTGCGAAGTTAGATATGAACGTACTATTAAAATGGACAATAAATGGTAAATGCAATGGACGAGTTACACTGTGCGATTGTACGGTGATTATCAGGGCAAGGAAATGTCGTGCTTGTTTTAACAATCGCACGTGCAGGTGATACATACATAACTTATTCATTTTCGAGGAGAGCGGACCTTCATTGTCAAACTGCATGTCGCTTTCCATACACTCCACCCATCCACCAGGTTTACACACTCTCACCAATTCCCGTGTTAATTCCGGCCATTGGCTTTCTGTTAACGCCAGGTTCATGAATCGCATGTATACAAAATCGAAGGTGTCCGATTCGAATGGCAGACCACACGTCAGCACATTTAGTTGCCGTAGTTCCACATTCTGAGGTTTTATCGACGTGGGGAATATCGGTGACAAGTCCACGCCGATGAATTTATTACCCGGAAATTCGGAGGCCATCTCAAGGATCCAGGTAGCAGGACCGCATCCAACGTCCAATACGCGGGCCCCTCCGTTTCTCAGTATTTCCTTTACTGGCGACGAAAAATTTTCTTTCCACGCGTACCGGAATAGGTAGTGTTGCAATTGCAATCGATTTATCTCCTCGTCGTCGTTCGGCAACGGATACTTGGATGTCTCGTCGTCGTGATACCTCCGACCGTCAATGTATTTAAAGGAGGTATTTGAATATTGCAGTGAATGCGTCGAGTTTTGCGGGTAAGTGGATGTCGACGCCGTGCCAATCGATGCGGTGGCCGAATGTTGACTATGATTGTTTTGAAGGTGAAACGACGAAGCCGACGAGCAACGACTTGACCACTTGTGAGACGTGAATGGTTTGCTGCTACCAGGTTTATTGTTTCTTCTGCTCTCTCCCGCTTCTTCTTCTTCTTCTTCCCTTTGTTTCTGCACGCAATTTCCCATCAAGGATTTTTATTATACTTTGTATGCTATGTCTTCACCGCGAGAATGCCAAAATGTGATCGTGCGAAGGATTGAAGTTGACTTTATTTTGAGAGGAATTCTTTTTATTTATTTATTTTTTTTCCTCTGGTGAACTTTTTAACAGAAGCACTCGCAAAAGGGAGAGCGGTATGTCAATGGGGGTGACCTTACTTTTATAAACTCTATCGCATGTACAGTATATCGCATATATTCAACAGAAAAAGAAAAAAAAAAAAAAAGAAAAAGGCTTAGATTGATTAGTTTTTATTTACAGACAATGTGTTTCTATTATAGCAGAATGAGATAATTTATAATTGAAACATGAAATTATGGAATGGGTAAACTGACAAAGGTGCATATTCGGAGTCGGGTGTTTTACGCGCAACAATATATTTTTTTTCAAGTGGTCAACTCCATCCATCACGTGACTTCATGCAATGCATATCAGCATAGTGTGGAATATTTGGTGCATCTTTATTTTTCCTCCTTTGATTAGTTTTATCTAGATTAAAAAAATTTTAATGTAACTGTGGCGCCAGCACGAAACATCCCAAATTAGGAAGCTGAGCTTCACGTAATCTAACATGTGTTCGTTCATCTATATTGAAATAGACATCTTTTTTTTTGCGTCTAGTGGAAAAAAAAAAAAAAAAAAAAAAAAAAAAAAAAGGAGAAAAGGAGTCCACGACGGTAGAAACATCAAGTCCAAAATTTGAGGCCGTCTTCATAATGGGAGAAATTAATTCCGGGGTTCGGATGTATCATAAGCACAGATGATTATGCGTGTAGCGCACCGGACGGCTTTGCGAGACAACAGCGAATGTCAATTGCCAAACTGTTCTTCTTGGCACCGAATCGCATATTCTACGATTGAAATGTGTGTCCAAGGGCGCTGAAACATGTGCCGGAAAATTCAAATGACCTCTGTGTGAAATCGAACTTGCGAGTCAAACCGCTTTTGGAACAAGTGAATCAAACTAAAACGACGCTAAACCAAAATCTTTCTCCTTGTCGTCATCCGCATTTCACGTTCTCAAACGTTAGCCACAAAAGGCTAGAGTGTTTCAAAGTTGAAAAAAAAATAAAAACATTATAAAAAGAATGAGAATACGCTCTTTAGGTATTGTACTTCTTTGAGCATAGAGGGATGCTTTGCAAAGACGTCGTTATTTCATCTTACGGAATTTCAATGCATACAATATAAGGTCACCCGCAACATCGGAAGATCACTTTGACAACATGTGACTAAATTTCCATCCCCATAATGAATAATTTTTGACCTCGACTCGTTCCTTGTGCACTTCGATCGAACGGATAAGCAAACAAATACCGGTAAAATGGAATCTCGGAAACAGAAAAAAGCATTGTTATCACCGTATATTTCGTTGCAGAAGGTTTGATAAATTAATCTTTTTTGGTGGAAGAAGAAAATTGTCTCCGTCATTCATCTGCAGCTTTGGCAGTACCGATACACCACGGTCAATTCACGGATCTACGGTACGTCAATCGGTTCGGTTGTGCTGGAATATTTATTAGACCGATTTAGTCCGATTCGTCAGGAACTTTCTAGACGGAAATAATTTTAATGTTGTGTTACCATACCTTATGCAGGTAACTCCTGAACTTCGATACGAGGTAGGCGAAAGTTAATTTAAACTTTCTTGCATGGTTTACAGCCGAGCCACCGTGTTTACCGACATGATTCTTTTTTTCTTTTCATACGGTAGCTACTACCCGGGCGAAGCGTTCAACTACTAAGTATTTTCTTCCTTCCTTCCCTTCCTTCTTCTTCTTCTTTTTTTTTAATAACGAGAAGGATCAATGAAGACGTGAATAATTTCAAAAACATCGAGTTGGACCTGCAGAACACAAAATTCGTGTAGTTAAGAAAATCGAGAAGACGGATCCTGTGCAGTACACATACTTGGAAATTACCGAAAACGGGTTTATGGTTCGTAATAAGCACACCATTTTTCTGATTTAAAATAGGAATTCTCGGGTGAGAAAAGACGGAGGTGATACGAGAAAATCTTGTCGAAACCCAATTGCCAAGAGATTCCACTTTTGGATTCTGTGTGCCGGGCAATGTTCGCGTGATCGACAATTGCTCACAGTGCCCGGGCACCCACGAAATAATCCATCACTTTTT